TAGTTACGTATTACTTTCAAGCAGTTCGTACTTTATTTCGTTAAATTTGTCACAGTTAAAACACCTTTGAGCAAGTCTTGTCTTGATGAAAATTATTTTGCTAAGTCAGGTCTTTTCACGAATTTTTCATCCAGCTCGATCCAAAGGCCGCAATAATATTCAGAGGATTGTTTACCTTTCTGCACATAACGCTTCAACGAATTTGCATCCCAAAACCGGTGACAAATCTTTGCTGATCGGACTTCACCTGCTTTTAGCTGAACACCAGCTTCAGTCCACTGTAAACATGATTGAATCCAGATCATGGTAAATCCAAGTCTCATCCATTCTTCAAAATAAAGAATCTAATCACTGCGCGATATTAAATTTTTCAATATAAAAATACTGACACATCAACTTCAAATGGCTTGTAAACAAAGAATTATGATAGAATGACTTAAATTTGTATGTGTTCTCACGAAGATGTACAAACTTAAGAAAAATTTGGACAGTAGTGCTATTTCTGGTGAGACCAACCTGTATATATTTTGTACTCCGCGACATGTTGCTACAGAGTAAAATGGTTTTTCGTATAACTGTTGTTTGTATCACCTAATACTTATAGAGATAGATATGGAGTTATATAATAAATATAAATTTTAAACCGTTTAGGTTGCTCAAAATATGATATATTTAGTGAAATTAAGTCATACATAAATAATTTAGCACTGAATATAAATAGAGTTGGTCTAAGCCTTGGCCTAACCCTCATGCGCCTAATATAATGAATTTCGATTCTCCGGTTGACGTTTTCGCATCAACTCAATATATTTAATTTAGCTTTAGCTATTTCGGTTGAGTTTAAATCACATATGTATATCTCATTTCAGTTTGGGTTTTCACCGAAATACGGACGGTGCCACGCCCATTTTCCAATTTTAATACCGACTCCTACAAAGCTTTTTTATATTATCTTGAGTGCAAAATTTAGTGTGTCTAACGCTTTCATTTATTGAGTGATTTTACTTTTATTAGTTTTCAGCATAACCGTTATAAGGTGAGTAAGTGGGGATATAATCCGATTTCAACCATTTTTGCAATTTCGAAAGGAATGATAAACATACCATATTGGTTTTGATCAAATTTGGTTGATTTAGCTTAAGTGGTTTAGGAGTTATGTACATTAAACCTATTAATTTACATATAGTTGCACCGTAAGTAATATTACCATCTGCCGTACTGTTGCAACCGGTGAAACCATCGGCTGTTTAAAGAATAAGCTAATAAAAGTATTCAAAATAATATATCCAAAAATCAGATTTGTCAATCTACTTTTTAATTTTAATTTTTTTAGTTTTCAAAACGTCTGCCACGAGATAATAACCAACAAATTGGTCTGCCATTAATTTTGGCTTTTGCATTTATTGTATGATACAATTTACGTACCTGTATTATCTTAGTGACGTCATAGCTACCATCGCTGAGCTTAGTGGCTTCCGATTTAATGTAAGGTGGGTATAGGAGAATCTTTAAGCAAAATATCTACTTTAATAAAATACATACATTCCACCATTCACTGGCTTTTAGACTATTCATTTAAGATACGATCGATACTTTGTCTTCTAGGACCACTACTTTGCCTACCCCATTGGCTGATATGCAGCTCCATGACATGAGGCCCCTATTGTCTTCTTTAAGTGTAGGCTTTACACACTTGAATGTCAATGCCTCGCCTATTTTTATCCTTCGTCCTTATCATTGATTCGTCCGTCCAAATAATATTTTACCAATATTATATAATTCTAAGACATGCATAAAATTTCTTCCATTTTGCCAAATTGACCTTGTTTCTGTGAGGAATTTTCCACGATACCCTGCCGTATAGATTCTCTCCGTGTAAGCTTCTACGAATTGTAGACAAATACGGTGAATTTTTCCCTTGCGCCACTAGCAGGGCCTTAGTTTTCAGTGCGGAATAAAACCTATTGGATTTAGAAGTATTTATAATCCTGGAATTAAAACGTTTTTATGTTATTCTAGACCTTCCAGTTTCGTTCAATTCGTTTCTCATTTCTCAATGTTTTTATAACTTTATGGATATGTTATTTATTAAAATTAAAGGCTTCACATTAAATGATTTTGTCGAGTAATAATTGAAACAAGTAGGCAGTATTGCATCCATTATTTACAATCACATGCAAGAAGTTACACTGTTATTAGGAAGAAATTCTTTCGGAATTTCAATAAGATTTCTTGCATATTGACCGATAGATGCGGTATAAAATCAACCGGAAGTTCGAAAATATTTATATTAGGTATATGGGAGCTAAAGGAAGTATTCACCCGCCTCAAGGGCATGCTGTTGTCTCAAAAATACTTTCCCTGAATTTCAATACTAGAACTCATAGACTAACCGATTTGTTTGGCAAAAAATCAGCGTTCGTCCGTTTCCAATCGTCCGTTTCCATAGTGTACAATACTAATAATTGGATAACCCACACACCAAATTTGGTTGAAATTGATCAAGTAGTTCCTAAAATATAGGATTTCACCTAAAAGTGGACAGTGCCACGCCCATTTTCTAACTTTTACACCGGCTCCAGTTAAGCCCTTCCCTGCCATCCTGGTTGTGAAATTGAATGCTTGTAGCTCTTTTATTGAGTGAGTTATCGTACTTTTAGTAATATTTCACGTGACCGTTATATTGGGTGTGGGCGTGATTATTACCTGATTTTACTAATTTTCATGGTGTATAAAGAGATACTGAAAAACTTTTCCCTAGCAAGTTTTTTAGAGGTAGCTGTAGTAGTTTGGTACATACATACATATAATAATTTACAGGGGGACCCACGCCCACTTTAAAAAGATGGTTAATCCACAAGTGCCTCTCACCACTGCGATCCCCTGTACCAAATCACAGTTTTGTGTCTAACTTTAGTTCTTAAACTTTATAGGTTTAATGGCGATTTGTGGGCGTGGCATTGGTCCGATCACGCCCATTTGCAATACCTTGGGTGCCGAGGAACATATTTACCAAGTTACATCAAGATATCTAAATTTTTACTCGTGTCATATTGCATTGTATCGTATGATATTAATG